ACATGGTAAAATTTGTTTCAAAAATTATTTTTTCTACAATTTATAAATGTATCAAGGTAACATGTTGTATACCTTAAACTTACACAGTTAAAGGTCATATATACTCAACAAATTAAAAAGTTAAAAATAAAATTATTTTCCCCATATTTCTTTTGTCTCTATAAGATGTTAGTAACCATTTTTTTTTTTTCAAATTACTAACTGTGGAGAGTGAGATTTATATGGGAGAGGCCCAATGTTAAAAAAGTGATTCAAATAGGTAAAGTGTATTGAATGTACAGAGAGAGCATTAATAATGATAAAAGAATATCAAGTTTCTGAGAAAGTTGGGAAGAGATAAGATTTAAAATACAGATGTTGGAATGGGCCTTAGGTGGGAAGGATAGGAGGGAAGGTAAAGAAAATGAACGCATTAGGAAGGTTTGTTGATATAGTGTGGAGAGTTTAGGGGCTTTACATATGATTGCATCTAATTTTTCTTCTATTTCCTGTTGTGAGAGAAGGGAGTGTGGTGACTTGGCACTTTGAAGAGTGTGGAAAAGTTTGATACAGTTGTAAAGACAACAGCTCAAGACATACAGTCCAAGAGTAATCAATGCTGTTGAGATTGGGGACTGTAAAGTCTAACTTGAACAAGAAGGGAGAGGACTTTTGGGATTGGGGGAGGGGGAAGCAATAGTGTCAGCAGATTAGAGGATTTGATTACTACCATCATAGTGGTAGTAATTGAATGGTAAACAGAAAGGAGAATATAATGCATTTACATTATTAGCTTGTGAACTAGGAGGACAATACAAAGGCAGTGTCCTAACCTGCATTCCTTATGAGAATGGAAATCAATGGGGCTCTCAGAGTGCAGAGAGAATACTGCATTGGGCTCCAGCTGTCATCACTGGCCTTACGGTTGACAGAATACAAATCAGGTAGCACACTAACAAGGAAGAAAGGATACACAGGAGTGTTTGGACAGTCCTTATTCTGGTTAATTGCTGTTTTTTTCTCTGTAGCATTGACTTTTTTTTAAAATGACATTTTGAATAAAATTAAAAAGAAAAACATACATTACTGTGAATTTTTAAAAAAATACAAGTTGAAAAAATATTTTAAAACACCCAAATTCTCTTCCATCTGAAACTATCATTCGGTCCTTATAGATCCTTTTGATCCATATATAGACACAACTTTTTAAAAATAGAAATGGAACAATCCCATATATACTAATTTTGTAGCATGAGCATTTTTATTTTTCCTCAACAATGGATAGAGTTCTACATAATTTTACTAGCTTCTTCATATTCTAGTGTATGACCTTCTCTTTATGTCATAGATATTTTGTTTGTCTTATTAATTTGTATGAATTCTTTGTTAAGATTTTAGCCTTTATGTTTGTTGCAAATAATTTCTATTAAAATTTTACTATAAACATTTTAGATATTCATAAGCTGCTTGTTTTCTACTAATGATTTGTCAGTTTGTTACCTTTTGGCAACCCCTTAGCAATAGGAATCTGACCAATGTCAATATGCAGTGGAGAAATAATCATTAATTGCAAATGGCTTTTAATTGTTTTTTAAAATTAGAAATGATATTTAGCATTATTTTTTTAATAATTTCCTCACCAGGGCTGTCTTGACCTCACCGGGGCCCTCCCGACCTCACTGGGGCCCTCCCGACCTCACTGGGGCCATCCCTACCTCACCAGGGCTATCCCTACCTCACCGGGGCCGACCCGACCTCACTGGGGCTGTCTCGACCTTGGTGCCGTACATCGCCAGGATCATTTCAGCCTCACCGGGGCCGTCCCAACCTCACCGGGGCCCTCTCGGCATCACTGGGGCTGTTTCAACCTCACCGGGGCTGTCCCGACCTCACTGGGGCCGTCTTGACCTCACCGGGGCCATTCCGACTTCACCGGGGCCGTCCCAGCCTCACCAGGGCCGTCCTGACCTCACTTATTTAGCATTATTTGTCCCACAATTAGTTTACTTTATTAAATGAAGATAGTTAACAGAGCACAGAGCTCTTCCCTAATGGCGTTGCCTGAACTTCTTCCCAGCCTCTAGCTCTTCAAAACTTCTGATGTGGGAGCACCACCCCCATCCCAGCATCCCTCAAGATGTTGAGGGGAATGTATCTCTTTCTGAAGCATAGCAGAAGTTATTTGTACTGGAGGTATCATCTCAGCTCTGGTTTTAGAATAATGGGCCTTAAGGAGAAGCATTAGAGCCAGACTCTTGTGTATAATATTTTGCTGGTGGGAAAATATATTGTCTTCTAAGTAGTTGACTGGACAGACCAACTTTTGGTTTCTGGTTGTTTCATTTAGGAGAAAAAACTTGCCTTACATCAGGTCTCATTTCTGCCACAGACTGTACCCACTGATTAACTTCTCCATAAAATGAGGATTAAAGACTAAAGCAATGGTTTTCAAATTTTAAAAATATTTTATTCAAATAAATTGTTATTCAAAAGGCCAATATATATATTTTTAAAAAGGATGAAAGCAAGCTTAGGTGCTCTGCTTGTACTGGAAGAGGAAATCCAAGAGTTTCTACTCTTTGGATCCTACTCTTCCACATCTGCCACTTGAAGAAGTTCATGAGGCTTCTCATACTTTGAAAACCACAAAACCAGCGATTTATTTTTTTCTTCTGGATCCTTCCATCAACATTCTAAATTTCAGAAGGAGCATATACAACACAAAAACTAGAGTTAGCCGAACCGGTTTGGCTCAGTGGATAGAGCATCGGCCTGCGGACTCAAAGGTCCCAGGTTCGATTCCGGTCAAGGGCATGTACCTTGGTTGTGGGCACATCCCCGCTGGGGGGCGTGCAGGAAGCAGCTGGTCGATCTCTCTCATCGATGTTTCTGACTCTCTGTCCCTCTCCCTTCTTCTCTGTAAAAAATCAATAAAATATATTTAAAAAAAAAAAAAAAACAAAACTAGAGTTAATCTGCTTCTAAAACTCAACTCATTCTACATATTGTAAGGTCTCTAAAACAGTATTTCCCTCCAAACAAGAATAAAGTGCCATGCACCAACAATGAGGACTTTATTTTGGTCAGGTTGGAGTCTGAATCTCTTATTGACCAAAGAATGATACTTGATTTGGCAGAGTGGAAGTACACTTGATTTAGCAAAGCAGTTCTCAGTCTGGATACCGAGATGTGGGTCAGGAACATAGAAATACGGATTGGACCAGGCAAAAAGATGGATGTTATGCTGTAATTTTTAATCCCTCTGTGTCCTTTTTAGTGCATGATAATCAACTGCTTATATAACCAAGGGCCCCACCTGCTCATTCAGAATTAAGGGATGAGAGGAGGCTTTCTGGGACATTCTTTCTCCTTATATAGAACTGTAACTCTGGATATAGAATTTACTGTGGCTTTCCTGGGATCAGAGTAGGAGTTGAAGTAGAAAGGGGGGAAAAATCCAGTGATCCAGGGAGAAAGTTCTAGTTCTGCCAAAGTCAGAAGAAAAATAAGTACATTAAGACATTAGAGCCGAAACCGGTTTGGCTCAGTGGATAGAGCGTCGGCCTGCGGACTGAAGAGTCCCAGGTTCAATTCCGGTCAAGGGCATGTACCTTGGTTGTGGGCACATCCCCAATGTGGGGTGTGCAGGAGGCAGCTGATCGATGTTTCTAACTCTCTATCTCTCTCCCTCTCTGTTAAAAAATCAATAAAATATATTTTTTTAAAAAAATAAGACCTTAGAGCTCGGCCGGCTTGGCTTAGTGCTTGAGTGTCGACCTATGAACCGGTGTGGCTCAGTGGTTGAATGTCGGTTCAATTCCTAGTCAGGGCACATGTTTCTATCTGTCCCTCTCACTTCCTTTCTAAAATCAACTAAAATATTTTTTAAAAGGACATTAGAGAGGTCAGGAGCCAGTAGACACAGTGAACCATACTTAGAACACTTCAACAAGAATCAGAAACTGGATGGAGGCCTGGGTTAGGAATATAAGCATAGCAGAAGCAACAAGAGGATAACGGGATATACTTTTCTCTCTATCCTTGGGTTTGTTGGCTCACCAGTTGCCAGAGTTAGAGGCTAAAGTGGATGAATGATGAGCCCATGCTATTCTGCTAGGAAGCCAGGCTAAAGTGTAGAACTTAAATGCACCCCCAAACAAGTGTTTCATTAATTACCTCTTCTACAGTAAAAGATATCAGGGCTGTCTTAATTCACTAATGCAGACTGAGGCTATGCTTATGTGAAGAGACTTGTACTTGGTAAGGGTTTGGTAAATGGCCAGATGAGATTTGACCTTGCTTTGGGTCTCATATTTATTTTCATTTAATGTAAAATGAAATACAGTTGGCCCTCTACACCCATGGACTTCCAACCACAGATCAAAAACAGCACAGGGCCGAAACCGGTTTGGCTCAGTGGATAGAGCGTCAGCCTGCGGACTCAAGGGTCCCAGGTTCGATTCCGGTCAAGGGCATGTACCTGGGTGGTGGACACATCCCCAGTGGGAGATGTGCAGGAGGCAGCTAATCGATGTTTCTCTCTCATCGATATTTCTAACTCTCTATCTCTCTCCCTTCCTCTCTGTAAAAAATCAATAAAATATATTTTTAAAAAAACCCAAAAAAACAGCACAGGTATTTCTTGAAAAAAATCCATGTATAAGTAGACCTGCACAGTTCAAACCTGTGTTGTCCAAGGGCCAGTTGTACTTCTATTTTGTGAAGATCATGAAATTTTTAATGATGTTAATAAGTAGTACAAACTTCAAAGAAAGATGTGAATTCAGAAAAGTTATTTTTAAATGAGTTATAGCACTTCAATAGGAAGCTAAAGTAGATAATTTCTAGAAAAGTGAACCATATGCTTGCCAAGAGACATAATGAAATCCGTTGTCTTGACACAAAAAATTAACTGGTGGTTCTTTTCTGTTTTGATATACATATTAAACAAAATAAGCAGAATACATTGATTCCTACTTTAAGTAGTCCTTTCATCAGGTGGACTCATCCTAAATCATGACTCTGCTACTTCTTTTGATATGGTAAGGGATAATAGCTGGTATTCATAGCCTCTGCTTTGCTTGATGGGATGATGAAGTGAAATCTTCATTGGTAAAACAGTAGACTGCAGTGCTTAAAAGCATGGACTTTGTCATATTTTTTTTTTTAACTTGAGTACTTTTAGAGCAAGAACTACTTACTCCCTGTTGTCTATGCTTGCTGACTTCACATATATTATCTGCCTTCCCTGAAGGCATTTTATAGGTGTGTTTTTTTGCTTTCTCCCTCCATTGTTGCAGGCAATTGAGTTTTCAGTTTGTGGCTTGGATTTACACTATAGTTGTGTAGCCTAGAATGAAGGCCTTTCATAACATTTTTTTTGTATTGTAATAATATTTACTTTAATTCTCCGCCCCTCCCCCCCAGTTTTGATGAAGCAAGAACACAGAGAAGAAATTGACTTGTCTTCGGTTCCATCATTGCCTGTGCCTCATCCTGCCCAGACCCAGAGGCCTTCCTCAGATACAGGACATCCATGTGACAGTGTACTGTCGGCACAGAGAAGCTTGGTTTGTCCCATCGCAGGAGGCAGCTCTTCCTAGTTTAATAAATCTTGGCTGCCAACCATCATCATCCATACCTTTTCATTCTTCAAATTCAGGCTCAACAGGACATCTCTTAGCCCATACACCTCATTCTGTGCAGACCCTGCCTCATCTACAGTCAATGGAATACCATTGTTCAAACACAGGACAAAGATCTCTTTCTTCTCCAGTGACTGACCAGGTCACAGGTCAGCCTTCCCCTCAGTTACAGTCCATCACATATGGTTCTTCACAATTAGGGTCTGCTACAGCAGTTTCCCCAGCAGCTTCTCATCCCTTGGCCAGTTCACCACTTTCTGGACCACCGTCTCCTCAGCTCCAGCCTATGCCTTACCAACCTCCTAGCTCAGGAACCACCTCATCACCAACTCTAGCTACTAGAATGCGTTCTGGACAACATTCAACTCAAGCACAGAGTACAGGCCAGGGAGGTCTTTCTGCACCTTCATCCTTAATATGTCACAGTTTGTGTGATCCAACTTCATTTCCATCTGATAAGGCAACTGTGAACATTAAACCTGAACCTGAAGAGCAAGAACCTAACTTTTCAACAATTGGTCTACAGGACATCACTTTAGATGATGGTAAGTTCATCTTTATGTTCTTGAAGCAATGAAGATCTAGGAACTTCCTTCTCTGAGTCATGAGAAAGCTACCATAGATTGCTTATTGGCATATAGCTTGTTTTTTTAATAAGTTGTTACTTGAGATATGTTGATATATGATTTTGAGAATAGACATGAAAATCTATGCTTTTAAGTCTATTTTACCACTAATATCTGTTGTAAAGTGTGAGACTTTAAGTGATAATCTACCACCCATTTGTGATGGAACTGAAGACATGAGATTTACTGGGCATCTTTTCTTCCAGAACATATAGTAAGTCACAGTGTCTAGAGAGTGGAATTCAGGGGTGTTAATTCAGTAAACATTGCTGAATGCCATCTATTTGCAGGGCAGAGTTAGATGCTGGGATTACTGTGAATGTATTAAGATAGAGTTTCTGTTCTTGAAGAGACTCAGACAAGTAAAGAACCTGCTCCTTTGTAACCCTGCTAGCTTGCTGAGTCAGATAGTGGAGATAGTATAAGATTGGATTGGTTTGCTGCTGCCGGTACAGCCGTTAGCACCAAGCTAAAAAGAAGCTATTCATATAAATATAGCAAGTTGTTATGTACGCCTCTGTTTTTATGAAATCAATAAATTGGGGAACAAACTCTGGAATATTAATTATTTCAGTAATTGAAAATTCCCCCAAATAGGATTATCAGTTAATAATTTTAGGGCTTATTCTTGGCTTTATTATCATTTATATGGTAGTAAAATTTTTTCTAAGTAAGAATTCAGTAAAAGCTATTATGTAAGTATTATCCAATATGAAAATTCTAAGGATTCTGAAACATGGATATAGAGTTTTAATTCTTTCTCTGATTTTGTTGGTTTGTTTTTTTAAATTGATCTGAGAGAGAGAGAAAGGGGAAGAGAGAGAGGAAGGGAGGGAAGGAGAGAGAGAGGGAGAGACATCGACTTCTTGTTCCATCTATTTGGTTGATTTTTGTATGTGCTCTGACA